AAACAAAAAAAAAAAAAAAAAAACAAGAATCTTTAAAAATAATAATTAAAAGCTATTTTAAAAATTAAAAAAATTTAAAAATCTTAAAATAATTAATAATATAATTATATTACCTATTATATTTAAATAAAAAATATTGATTTTAAAAATAAATTTTATTATATAAATTTAAAAATTATTAACTTTTTTAAAAAAATATAATAATAATATATTTATAGTTTATTTTTATAATAATATTCATTTATAATTTATAAAATAAATTTATATTTTAAAAAAAGAATTTTTCTTTATTATTTTAATAAAATATATTAAAATTATAAGATATAAAATATATTATAATAAATAAAATTCCTAAGATAATAAAAACAAAAATAAAATAAAAAATATTTTTATTTTTTTATCATAAAATTTTTTTTTTTCATTTAAAATATTTTTTTTCTTTTTATTAAAAGTAAATATTTTATTCATCATCATCTATATAGAAAATAAATATATATTTTATTAATTATATAAATATATAATTAATTAATTTATTTTTAAAAATACCATTAAAGTCTTTATTCTAGTGTTTTAATTTAATATGCAATTATAATGAACCCTCAGATCTTCAAAGCATTATTATAGTTAGTTTAAAATATATATATATATTATAAATATTTAATTTAAAAAAAACAAACAAAAAATACCCATATGATTTTAAACAATCTTTAAAATTACATTAAAATTATCTTTAAATCTTATTAGCAGTTCTTCTTAGTCTTTTTTATTTTTTATCTATTAGATAAAACTAACTATTAGGATCATCATAATTAAATTTCTATTTTGGTTAATTATATTTTTAAATCAGAATATACAATAAATATAAAATATAAATTCTATTCTTAAATTAAATATAAAACCTCTAGCCTTTATATTTTTAAAATTAATTCAGTTTTATCTTCTTCTAGTTCTTGTATCTTTTAGTTTAATAATTTTTTATTTGATAATAAATTAAAATAAAAATAGAATAGTACATAAAACAAATATAAAAAAAATGTTAATTAAAATATATACCTATGTATTCAATAGAATATTTTATAAATATATTTTTTATGTTTATTCTTATATATTTATTAATAATTGTTAATAATTTTTCTAATATTTAAGGTTAATTATTAATATTTTTAATAATGTTATAAATATATTATAATACATTAGCTTTATTATTTATTATTATTAATTTCTTGTTTGTTTATATTTAGTTTTATGGAATTCATCTTTTTTTTTTACTTTTAATTTATACAGTTTATAAAATTGACCTTTTTAATTAAATTTTTAAAAATATATAAAATGAAATATAATTTATTTAAATCTTTTTTTTTAATTAAAAACAAGTAAAATCAGTATAATATAATAATATAAACTTAAAAGTAATTATAAAATATATATTTAATATTTTTTTATTTAGAAAATTAATAGTAATAATTGATATAATTGAATAGAATAAATATTTAAAAAAAATAATAAATAATATAAATACAAAAAATTGTTTTTAAAATAAAATAAATTATTAAAAGAAATAAAAAAAATTAAAATATCAATAAATCAAAATTAAATTAAAATAATATAATAATAATAAAATAAAAACATTAATTTTTTTATAGAAAAATATTAATAAATTAATTATTAAATCTAAAATTAATAATTAATTTAAAAGTATAAATATATGTTAAATAATTTATTATAAAAAAAAAATAATAAATAATAAATCAACTACAAACATAATATACTTATAAATAAATATGTATAAAATAATCAATAATTTTATTCATATAAAAAATATATATATTGATAAAGTCAAAAATAAATAAAAATATTATAAAGAATACTTAAAAAATAAAAATTATAATTAATATTAAAATTTAAACATATTCTCTAAAGATGTTTATTATAATAAATTATAAAATTATTTAAATATATTTTTATAATATTAAGATTATTTTATAAAAAATATTATTTTTTAAAAAAATAAAAATAAAAATTTATAAAAAAAAAATATAAAATTAATATTTAAAAATATAATATTTTATTTTAAATTATTACTTTCAATAATTCAGTAATTAGAATTTTTTTTTTTTAAGATATTAAAAAAATTTGTAATAATAAAAAAAAAACTATTACACACAAAATAAAAAAAATCAAATTATGAATATAAATAAGATAAAATTATAGATAATTAATTAATTAATTAATTAATTAATTAATATATATATATATATATATATATATATATATATATTTATATATTGTATATAAATTTATATATTTCTTTTTATAAATTCATTAAAAAAGTTGATTTTAATTTTCATATTAATTATTTTAATCTTCATCTAAATAAATTCCACTCGATATTTATAAAGAATATGGTACAGAAAGCATTTAAACTGTACTAATTTTTTATTTTATAGTATTTTCTTTTTTAAAGCAATATTTATTTACTTATAATGAACTGCAAATAATTTTCGTATAAAATTCAATATAAGTAAAAAAATTTAAAAATTCTTTTAAATTGCATAAAATATGTCCGAAATATATTATTTTTTAATATTTAGAATTAAAAAGATTTCCCAATACATATGCACCCTATACTAAAAAAACAAGGAAAGGGTATATAAAAAGTCTAAATGTATCCAATAAGCTTACATATTTAAAGTTTTCTTTATTTTTTTATAAGAAAATACACATAAAACAATGAAAATAATATTCATAAAAACAACTAAAAAATATTGTATTATCAAGCTATATAAAAGCTTCCATTTTTTATTAGAAAAATAACAAAAAGTATTTCCAAAAGGTTCCGTATTTTCTATCAAATTAAAAAAAAGAATCAATATAGTGTAAAAAAAATGTCCTAAATATATGAATTTTCAATATAACGTTAACGGATTTTCCTTATATATCTATATTCTCTTCACTAATTACTAATATAATGAATAAGATACACATATAGTGGCATTAAATGATGAAAACATACTCATTTATATTAAAAAAGCAACCATATAACATTGAATTTGCCCAATTTTTTCCTAAGAATCAAAATACATATATATAGTACGGAATAATCCTACTGATGAATATACAAAATCAGCTATCATAAGCATTAAAATCAAATCAAATGCAAAAGAGCGTTATTTTTTGGCTATTATATAGTAAATTATAATAATTAAACATGATATACATGAAATTAAGCAAATTAATAATAAAAGCAAAACATCATGTTTAAAATATTACATTTATATTTTATTTTTAAATAAAACAAAAAAATATTTTATAATAATAAAAAAACCTAAATATATATATATATATATATTATAATAAAAAAATGTAAAAATTAGCCAAATAAACAAGATTCGAAAATATTTAAATTCTATTAAAAAAATTCAAATAAAAAATAAACTAAAACGGAATTATATTACCTCCATTTGTTAAAATAGTAGAAGTAGGACCTCGCGACGGTCTCTAAAATGAGCCGAAAATCCTCTAAACATCTGAAAAAATACGGCTAATCAATTCTTTATCATAAACAGGTCTAAAAGTAGTTGAATGTACAAGTTTTGTATCACCTAAATGGGTTCCTTAAGTAATATATAAATATATAATTTATAAAAACATGTATATATATTTATAAATAATTAAATAGTATATATATGTATATAATATATATATAGATGAGTGATAATATAGAAGTATATAAAGGAATAAATAAAATTTCGAAATTGTCTTATCCATGTTTAGTTCCTAATATAAAAGGATTAGATTAAGCTATAGAAGTTGGAGTTAAAGAAATTGCTATATTTGGAGCTGCCTCTGAAACATTTACTAAAAAAATATAAATTGTACAATTTAAGAGAGTATTTAAAGATTTAAAGAAGTTACAGAAAAGGCTAAATTAAATAATATAAAATTTAGAGGGTAATATATATAAGTATTTTTTTTTAGTAAAATTTTAATATTATATTATATTTTTTATTTCAAACAAAAAAAAATTAATCAAAGAAAAAAAAAAAAAAAAAGCAATAATTAATTTATTTTATTGGTCTTTTTTTGTTTTTATTGCTTATTTTATAAAAAATAAAAAAACACTATATATATATATATATATATATATATATATATATATATATATATATATATATATATATATATATATATATATAATTATTTATTGTTTTTTTAGATATGTTTCGACTGTATTAGGTTGTCCATATTAAGGAGATGTGAATCCTTAAATAGTAGCCGAAGTAAGTAAAAGTCTATATGACTTAGGATGTTATGAAATAAGTCTAGGTGATACTATAGGTATAGGTACACCTGAAAAAACTTAAAAAATGCTCCAAGAGGTTAAAAAAGTTATCCCAGTAAATCAATTAGCAGCCCATTTTCATGATACATATGATAAAGCTATTGAAAATATATTTATAGCCTTAGAAAACAATATTTCAGTTATAGACACTAGTATTGCAGGGTTAGGAGGGTGTCCTTATGCTAAAACGTAAGCAGGAAATGTTTGTACTGAAAATGTAGTTTATTGCTTAAATGAATTAGGTGTTTAAACTGGAGTTGATTTAGATAAAATTATTAAAATTGGATAAGATATTACTTAATTATTGGGGAGAGAAAATATGTGCTTTTTATGATTTTTTGTTTGTTTAATTTATATAAATAAGTAATTATAAATAAAATAAGGAAAATTATAATATATATAATTATTTTATAATTTTTTTTTTTTTTTTAATTCCTTTAAAGAGGTAATATATATTATTTATAATATTTTCATTTAAAGACATATTAATTTATTTAAAATCTATTAATTTAATAATTTTATACATTATTAATTCTAAAAAAAGCTATTATATGGAAAATTTATAATTAATAATATAATACAATATACATACAATTTAAATAACAATAAACAAACATAAATTCAAATAAAAATTGCACAAAACTACATAATTTTTTTTTTAAAAAAAATAGATCAGTTTAAGTTATTATGTAAATTTTAATCAAATTATCAAGTATATATAGAAAATTATTTAATTCTTGTCTATTGGAATATGCATATTTTTTTGTATTTTAAGTATAATATAGTAATATTAAGCATATAATTAAAGTAAACTTTATTTTATTTTATATTTTTGATTATATATATTATTATTTTAATATAATAATTATTTACTAATAATAAATAATGATATAATGCTTAAAAATATATTCTTAATATATTTGATATTATCAACAATAAGTTTATTTTAGAGAATTATCTCTTTAGTTTTAATTATAAAAATACTAACCATTTTATTATTAAAAATACTAGTTATATTACATATCATATTACTAATTAATATCAATATTAGCCAATGGAAAATTATTATTTTACCTTGAACTACGTTTATTTTAAAAGTCATCTTACTAATTATATAATAAATTGTATTAATGACCAAAATTTTATCCATTATATATATTTTAATCTTTATGCTTGTTTGAATAAAAATTCGGTCTTCTTTACAAAAATAGTTAATCTTTTAAAGGAAATAGTTATTTATTATATTAGTGTTATATTTAATAAGAATTATCATTATTAAAATTAAGTGTACTTTTACTTCTAATTTTTTAGAATCTTTAATTTTATTCTTATTCTTAAAATATACCTACTTTAAATTATTTACTAAAATTAGAAATATTTTATTTATTTCTATGAATATAATTATTATTTAATAATTAAATTTATTATTATTATTAAAAAGGTATTGATATTTCATGATATTTATCATTAAATTAAGCATTTTTTAATGTAAAGCAATTATTTTAGTTATTAACTAAACTATTATATTATTATTATTATTATTAATATTATTATTATTATTATTATTATTATTATTATTGTATTAATTATCAATTCTTTTTAATTATTGTTATTAAATTTATTAATTTTAATAAAAAATCTTTAATAAAACTTTTCCTATACACAAATCATTATTTTTTAATTCATACCATTACTCTTCATTAATAAGTGCCTAATTTATATTTATCAAAGCTAAACCTAATAATTATCCTTATTAACTTTTAGGATTATCAATTGATATTAATCTTATTTCTATAAAGTTTTCATTATTCTTTTAAAAATGTATTTGTTCATTCCATTACGGCTCATATTTATTACCTTAGACAGCTTATGTCTTTTTTATTTGCTAAGTTCCTAAACGAAATACAATTACGTAATATGGCTTCGAATTTACTATAGTTTAGTTATTATTTAATATAGCTTTAAATGGCTGAACATATATATTCATTTTACCTTTATAAAATATATATTTTATTTAATTTTTAATTTTTTTTTTTAGTTGTTGATTTTTATTTAAACAAAATAAATTTTATAATTATATAATAAATTTTATATTAAAGCTTATATATATAAATTTTTATATTAATACACATATAATTATAGATCCCTTTTTATTTGTTTAATATATTTTTATTTATTTATCCTTAACGTTTTTTTTTTTTTTAATTAATTTTTTTATTATAAAAATAATATTTATATTTAAATATATTATTTAATTAAATTAATATATATATATATATAATATATACATTTTTTTTTTCATAATAAAAATAATTTTAAGCATTTTAAAATTTTTTATTTTTTTTTTTTCCCATTTTTTTTTTTTTTTTTAATATTTTTTAAAAAAATAAAATTAAACTTAATTTTATTTATGTTGTGTTTTATTTATATTAAAAATTAAATATTTTTTTTATTTTTTTCTAATATTTAAATATTAATTAATTTAATTTTAATTTAACTGTATATAGAAAATTAAAACAAAACAAAATATTAACAGAATTTTCGAATATTTTTATTTTAAATTTAAATTTAAAAATAAAAATATTGATAATTGAAAGAAGTAAATATTTTTTTTATATTAAAAAAAAAAAAAAAAACACATATAAAAATAACAGAATTTTTGTGAGGTAAATACATAAATAATATAATTTTTTTTTTTTTTTTAATTTCAATTTTTATATTAAAAATTAAAAAAAATTAATACAATATATTTATATTATTAACAAAATTCAACATTATAAAATATAAAACCTTCAAAAAAAAAAAACAAAAATAAAAAAACAAACAAACAAATAAAATATGAACATTGAAGATTTCTAATAACAAATAAACATAAAATTCCTCGAAAACTCAAATAAGAAGAAAAGCCAATTTTTAAAAAACAACTAACTCCCCCCAAACAAACCTCATTCCTAAAACACTTTCCAAACCTAAAAATCATCCATAAATCCTCTTCCCATAAGATATTTCGGTCGTGAAATAAATAATATTAAAACTGACCAAATAAACCTCCAAAAGCCTTCTTAAACAAAACTTTCCCATTTCCAAGAAGGAAAAGAGAATATCTAAGACGAAATATTTTCCGAACAATCCTAAAAAACCCCAAAACCCGACTAAGTAGAATATTATATTCCCCAAATATACGACTATATTAAATCAATAGAAGTAATAATAATAAAAAAAAAATACATATATTTATTAAAAAAAAAAATAGTAAAACTATGTACCTTAAGGAAATATGAATATATTCTAAAAAGACATCACAATACGTATGCGTGCCATATTAATAGACTGGCTAATAGATGTCCACTTGAAATTTAATTTAAACCCAGAAACCTTATATATAACCATAAACATAATCGACCGCTATTTAGATAAAAAATAAATCCAAAAAGAGCACCTTTAGCTTTTGGGATCGACCTCAATGTTTATAGCCTGTAAATATGAAGAAATATATCCTCCTGAGTTAAATGATTTTATATATATTTGTGATAATTTATATACTAAATAATAAATTTTAGATATGGAAGGTGAAATTTTATCTTAAATAAATTTCTCTTTAAGCTTTTCCAGTCCTTTGAAATTCTTACATAAATTTTCTTAGTTAAATATCTCTAATGAATCTTCTATAGTCTGCGCTTAATATTTAATTGAGCTTTGCTTAATTGAATATTCAATGGTTTCTTTTTCTCCCTCTCTATAAGCTGCGAGTACTATTTATTTAATTAATAATATTTTTAATAACCCAATACTTTGGAACGATAAACTATAATAATATACAGGATATTCAGTATAAAACCTTAAATAATGTGCTAAATAAATGTATGAAATTCTTAAAAAAGCTAATGAATCATGGATTGTTTATTAAAAATAAAATCAAGAAATTGAAAATTACTCAGAATCATAAAATTTCTATATTGATTAATGGTACTTTAACCAAAAAAACAATAATAATAATAATGTTAATATAGAATAAGAATATTAAATTAAAAAATAAGAACTTGCTGAATAAATAAAATAATATAAAAACTAAATGCTTAATAGTAATAAGAATTTAGTGGCGATTATAAGGAAGTTTTCTCTTCCAAAATTTAATTAAACTTCTTAATTATTTTTTAGTTATTTTACATAAATTTGATTGGGATTTATTTTATTTAAAATAAATATAAAATTATTCTTTTGTATATTATTTGTTTATTTTGTATTTTATATATATTACACTAATTTATTACTAAATAATTAATTATTTTACTTTTTTTTTTAAAAAAAAATATTTTTTTAAAAAAAATTATAAATTTAAATTTAATTTATAATATGAATTTAAAAATAAAATTAAAAAAATTAGTTCAAATTTTTAATAAATTAAAAAAATAAATAGAAAATATTATTTTATATATTTTCATATTTATTAACTTGAAGTAATAGAGAATATTAATTTAAATGAAAAAAAAATCAAAACATATAATAATTAGAATGTATTATAGTTGTTTAAATATAAATTAAATGAAATCAGGATACATTTTAAGTAGTATGTAATTATTGAATATATAAAACAAAATTTAAAATATATATAAATATAAAAATATACAATAAATATATAAAAATATATAAAATTAAAAAACTAAAATATCAATTATTTTTAATATTATCAAATTAATATACTATAAATTTAAAGTAATTAAAAAAATTATAAAATTAGTATTATTGATATTATTATAATTATAGTAATTATTTAAAAATGTTTTTTATTTTTATAATAATTATATTTATTAATATTATTATTATTATATATTTTTTTTTTTTATTATTATTATTATTATTATTATTATTATTATTATTATTATTATTTATTATTATTATTTATTATTATTTTTTTTTATTAATATTTTTATTATTATTTTTATTATTATTATTATATAAATTTTATTTTTTTTCAGATCTAGTATTAAAAATATAAATTAATTACTTAAAATAAGTACTATTTTATTTAAGTTAAATTTTAAAAATTATTTTATCAGAAGGTGAAAGATGAGTTAGATAAGAATTTTTTCTGCCGAAGCTATATTAAAAAAAAATTTTTTTATGTTCTATAAATAATCACATTTGAAATGGTTAAAATTTTATAAGATGATACAAGAAGGTTCAAGACTAGGTAGATAAAAAGGTTTTTGACTACATACCAATGAAAAAAAATTTAAAACATTTCTTTTTTTTTATTAAAAAAAAATAATATTTTTGATTTTGATTTTTTCTTTTAAGAAAAAAATATTATAAGAAATATAAAGAAATGAAAAAAGAAAGAATGAAT